TGACTTCTGGATCCATTCTTCACCCTTCTCTATCCTCCTGGAGGCTGATCTCTATGGACTGTACCTGGGCTCCTTTACCCTCTGGCTTCTGGTTAGGGTTGGTCACTGGCAGGATATTAGAGGGCAATGGAACAGAGAAGTTGAGGTATCTATTCCCCCCCACCACCACCACACCTTTGCTATAGTTGTAGCAGTAGCTGTGTTTCTCTACAACTATGGCTGCTATTGGGAGCCATCTTCCAGGGCTCCCATTCTTGCTGGTCTCTAGTAAAACCATTTCCTCCCTTTGCCCCTTCAAGCCTTCAGGAGGTGGCAATTATTTCCAGTCTGTTGCTAATCTCTGGGTGTTTCACCATCCTTGTTGGTTCCCTCTTTGTTAAACTCTTTTCAGTTAACCCTCCTGAGTATACCATAAATTTCCTGCCCAGATCTTGACTAATGCAAAAGGAGTCCTCCTTTTCTGCCCTTCTCACATATAGTGTTCAGCCTCTCTAAATAAGTGTAGTAAAAAAAATTTTTACAGATGATCAGTCTGAAAGGATGCCAAATCATGAGCCTGCTTGGGGTAACCATATGTCTCAGTCTAGGGCAGTGAGGAGTCACTAATGCTAGAGTTTACTTAAACACAACATATTTTCATTGAGCATTTTCTATAGGCAAGGCACATGCTGAATTTCATGGGATTCAGAGGTAAGTAAGATAGTTGTGTCCTCAAGGATCTTTCAGTTTAATACAGATTAAATACAAAATAATCATAATGCAGGGTAACATAAAATTATCAAAAATATACTTTTAAAAGGTCAAATTATGTTGGGAATTAAGTGGTCAATTCTTTTTGACAAAGCTTGAATTTGTCAAGACAAATTCAATAGGGAATGGATCATTTTTTAAACAAATAATACTGGAACAATTTGATATCCATATGTAGAAAAAAATAAACCTTCACATTTACCCCACACTATACACAAAAACTAAACTTGAAATGGGTCATAGACCTAAATGTAACAGTTAAAACCATATAAAACTTCTAGAAGAAAACTAAAAAGAAATCTTAGTGCTCTTGGTGTGGCAAATATTCCTTAAATACAACATAAAAAACATAAAGAACTCTTACAACTCAATAGTAATAAGAAGAATAACCCAATTTAAAAATGGGTAAAAGAATTGAAGAGCTATTTCACCAAAGAAGATACATGGATAATAAATATACACACGAAAAGATATTCAACATTAGTCATTAAGAAAAGGCAAATTAAAACCACAATGATGTAACACTACACTCCTGCTAAAGTGGCTAAAATTCAAACAACTGACCACACTATGTGTTGACAAGGATGTGGTGCAACTATAACTCTCGTACATTGCTGGTGGATATGCAAAATGGTAAAAGCACTTAGGAAAACAACTTGAGAGTTTCTTAAAAAGTTAAACATACATCTACCATATGATCCAGCCATTCCACTACTAGGTATTTACCTGTATTCATATCTATTGCTGCATAAAAATATTACCACAAACTTAGCGGTATAAAACAATACACATTGATTATCTCAGTTTCTGTGCTTCAGGAGTCAGGGCATGGTTGAGCAGGGTCCTCTGCTTTAGGCTCTCACAAAGTCTTATCTGGGGCTCAACTGGGAAAGTATTTCCCCAGTTTCCAAGAGCACATGGCTGTTAGCAGCATTCAGCTCCTTATGGGTTGTCAGACTGAAGGCTACAGTTTCTTGCTGGCTGGTGGCCACATGCCACCCTCAGCTTCTTGCCACCTAGTCCTTCACAACATGGCCACTTGCTTTCTCAAAGCCAGAAAGGGAGATAGAATCTCTCCCAGCAAACAGGTTTACAATTTTGTGTAATGATGTAATCATGTACACATAATCATGCATATCATCTTTGCTGTATCTAATTGGGTAAATGCAAGGCACATTAATTTGTCAATTATACCTCAATAAAGCTGAAGAAAAAAGAAAAGCAAGTCACAGGTCCCACCAACACTCAAGGGGGAAAGGATTATCCAAGAGTACGGATAATGAAGAGACCAACTTAGAGTCTGATCACAACATTACTCAAGAGAAATGAAACATATGCCCACACAAAAACTCGTACACAAATATTCTTAGCAGCTTTATTTGCATTAGCCCCAAACTGAAAAAACTCAAATATGCATCAACAGGTGAATGGATAACTTGTGGTATATCCATACAATGGAACAGTGAGCAATAAAGAGAAACAACCAGTTGATACATGCAACAACATGGATGAATCTCAAAATAATTATACGGAGTGAAAGAAGCTGGGCAAAAGAGACTACACACTGTAATATTCATTTATGTAAAATTCCAGAAAATGTAAACTAATGTGTAGTGTCAAAAAGTAGATCAGTGGTTGCCTGGGAGAAGACAGATTACCAATAAGGAAACTTCTGCAGTGATAAATATGTTCATTATCTTGTCCATGATGATGGTTTCACAGGTATATACGTATGTTAAAATTCATCAAATTGAGCTATAATAATCTTAATATTTAAGTATGTGCAGTTTGATGTACCTCGATAAAGCTGCTAAATTATACCTCAATAAAGCTTTTTAAAATACATATTTTTTTCAAACATAGGATCTACTTTTTGCAAAGGCACCATGTCACATCGATGCACCCTGTTAAAATAATTTTGTTTTTATTATTTACCATTGAATACAACTGATGTCAAGAAAAAGAGAATATCATAATTGCGCAAAGTATTCAGGATAGGCTATGTGAAAGAGGTGACATTAAAATGGACTTTTAAGGATGGAAAAGGTTTTGATGTGTATAAATAGTTAGAAGGGTATTCCCTGCACAGAAAGGTTAATTAACATGTTTATTTATTAAACACACATTCATTAGCACTTCTGTACCCAAGCAGTATGCTAAACACTGTGAAGACCTTTTTAACAGCTCTTAGCAAATTTCCAGACTGGGTTTATTAAATTTGGAGATGGCCAAGGATATTATACTCAAAATTTAGCTGCAGTTTTCCTAGTATTCCTAGGCACTGGCTTACTTGAGTAATTCTTTTCCCATAGTAGGAATAAGGAATTATATTAAAAAACAGCAAATTATATAAATAAACTCAATGAAAATCAACATGCAGTTTTATACATGTGATCAATACACATGGTCAATAGATAATTTCAAAAGTGCTATATTGACTAAAAAGCAAAACTAAGTAGTTCTGATTATTCTGAGCAAATAAATCTCAACCACCTCAGGATTCTATTTTCTCTTCTGAAGACTTACAGATTCCTGGTAGAGTAACCATGTGATTTATTGTCAAAATGGATGCTGATATTTATTTTGGGACAACAGTACTAAACCAGAGCAGTCCCAGGCAAACTGGGATGTATAGCCACCCCAGTCAGAGGGAGCTTTTGTTTTGTTTTAAGGTTACAAGTACAGATTTCTGAGCTATACCCCAGACATACTGAATCAGAATCTCTGGAGTCAGATTTGGGAATTTATAACCTAGTGAATTGCCATGGTTGGGAAGCCTTGGACTCTAACGTGATATCATCAAAGGCTCTTCCAATTCTAAAATTCTGTTTAATAAGGGAATTTTGAATATGGACTGGATATTAGTTAATAACAGGGAATTATTTCCTTAGCATAATAATGATGTGATAACATAAGCGAATGTCCTTATTTTTAGGAACTACACATAGCTGCATTTAAGAGTGATGTCATGATATCTGCATCTTACTTTCAATTGATTCCGGCAATACATACACACACAAATAAAGTTGATAGTGGGTATACACATAGTTCACTGAACTATTCTTTCAATTTTTCTGTGTGTTTGAAATTTTTCATAATAAAATGTTGGGAGGAAAAGACTATTACGGAAAAATTTTGTTTATAGGTAGACAGTATTATTGTTATAAATACGACTTCTAACAACTATGACCAAAAAGATGGCAATTCATGTGATTATTAAAAAATCCAGCCTGTAATTCCTCTTCTTAGACTTTGTCCTAAGAAAAAATAAAGTGACAAAGATATTTGCTGCAGAGCTATTTAAAAGTGTTGTTTTTGCAATATTCTAAATGTACAATAATGGCATGCTTAAGTAAATTACGGTGCATTGGTACATTCAACGGAGGGATTATTATGCAACCATTAAAATGATCATTTTCAAAAATATATTGCATACATTGGCCTATACTGTTACGTAACTAAGTGCAAAAAGAATCCGAAATTATACCTGTGCTATAACTATACAAAATTTGTGGATTCAAGTGAACAGACCTGGAAGTTTATATGGAAAATGCTAACAGTTTGAAAAGCAGTTTTTTCCCCTTTATTTCAATCTGTTATTTTCATTTCGAATTCTAATGATTAATAATAATGCATTTTTAAAAAACCAGTTGTTAACTGTTACCTTAATTTGGTCCCAAAGGCAATTAAAGGTCAGTTTATAATTCGTTGAACAACTGAATAAGACGTTAGGCCTCTCAAATGATTGATGCTTAACTAATTTGGGATATCCACATAGTCGTTTTGCCGACTACAAACATCACGTGTAAACCATGCTGCTGAAAAGGTCTCCAAACACAGGAAAACTCACCGCATGGGTGGGCTAAACGCACACAGATAATCATGGCAGAAATAATACTACCTGTCATATAAGACGGGCATGTCAGCCTTATCTCCGCGAAAGGCTTCTCGTCCTAGGCTGCCTCTTACTTTCACCAGAACGAAATGGTTCCAGAGGCCCAGGCAAGGGAGGGGACTGTTCCCTTGCCCGGGAGGCTGGAAACTGTTCGATGTGAGCGCAAGGTTTCCAAGGCCCTTCCGCTGAGAGCCGCGGCACTCGACGATTCCCCAGTTGCTAGGTTTGGTTGCTAAGGCACCAACCGTCTCGCAGGAAGAGGGCGTTGGTGCACTCCCTTTTGGCGTCGTAGCGAATCCTCTCGATGGCGAGTGCATTTGTTCCGGGGGGACACTTTCAGCTCCTCTGAGAGCGACGGGAAGACGAGGAGAAGCTGGGAGTGACGCCTCTGAGCCGCGGAGGATTGTGGGAGGAGGTTGTCTCCAATTTCTCCTCCGCCTCTCCCCCTCCCGGCCAAGATGTCTGACATGGAGGATGATTTCATGTGCGATGATGAGGAGGACTACGACCTGGTGAGGCGCAGGGAAGGGAACTCTGGGGCTGGAGTTGCTGTCTGGCTTTAGGGGCCGGGGCTGGGGCGAGCGCGGCCTCTCCCTGTGGAACATGTGCTCCTTCCAGCCTCTCCCGGTGCAGTGACAGCACGGGTTTCCCTCCTCCCTCTTCCCGCACCGGGCCCGGGCCCTGATTCTCCAGCATGGGGGAGGGGAGGGTAGAGGAGGCAGCGAGGGGGCTCCCGAGCGCTGCGTTTCAAGTCCGAGCGCCTCCTCCGTTTACAGGGGCACCCCTGGCCTCCGAGGTCCGGTTCTCCGTGCCTCCTCCCTCCTCCCCACCGCGCGAGCCGCCTCGGGGACCGCGCAGCGGTCTAGGCCCCGGCTCTGCCCTCTCGGGCCCAGCCTTCCGGGCCCCTCTTCTGCACACTTGAACTGAGCGGGTGCCAAGTGCTGGGAGAAGGGCCTGAAAACTGGGGGGGCCTTACTGCTCCCGGGCCTGACGGCGAAACGCCACTTGGGAGTCTCCTGGAAACATAGATTAATTAGTCTCGTCCGGGGTCCGTTTTGGTTTAAGGTAAAGGTGCAGTGGAGAACTCAGAGCAAGGATAGGTGAAAAAAAGTAGTTGAACTGCTTGTTTGGTTTAAAGAGAAAAGCTGAGGAGGAGGTTTTGCTTTTTTTAAATTGGGCCGGGAGGGAGGGGGATTATAAGGAGATTGGCCCAATGGCTTTTTTTCTTGACTTTGAAATTTCCCAGTATTCAAAGTTTAAAATGTCAACAGTGTAGAAATAAACGAATTTATGTAGCTGAATGGTGATTTTTAAAGAACCAAGGTTTAATTTATGAACGGATTTACAGGTTTTTAAAAAAATTCACTAACATTTCAGGTTGCTATTCAAAAACATTATCGGCGTGGAAATTAAGAAGAATTATCTGGACCAAGAATTGGTGTCAACTTTGTTTTTTATTTGGGGGGCGTTTTTGTGCATGGTTCTTATATATTATGGTGATGCTGCATTATCATAAAGTTGTGAAGCAGATCCTTAGGGAAGTCTGGCTCATCTTATATTTTAAGTGCTAGAGATTCTCAAGATATTAATATATGGTTTTGAGTTAGTGTAAAACTTCTTTGTATAATCGGTTCCAATTAATCTTTACATTTTAAAAGAAGGCACATTTGCAAAAGGGAGAGGGGAATGCTTGCTATTACCTGAAAGTCATAGTAGAGGTTTTGAGAATTCTTAAAGCTAGTTGTAGAGTTTTGCTAATAGTTATGATTGCTGCCTTACAGTTTAGTTTGTGCAAACCAAGCCGGTTGTAGGCAGTGCCTTCAGTGCGTTAAGAGTGTGTCGCTTGTGTTATCTTGTGCATTTTTCTTTATTGCATGTTTATTTATATTACAGGTACTTTTCTAACTATGAAAGTATTTCTTTTAAATATGTCTGTATACTTAGTTTGTGTTTTAAAATGTTTCTGCTAATCTCTTTCCTAAGCAATAGTGTATTGAATACTTAGTACTATGATTAACTTGAAAAGCATCATTGAGAATGTCATGTAGGAATGGCAGTGTGAATCTTACTGTCCCATGAAGTACTCAGTTAATTTTTGTGAAAATTTTAAGTAAATGTGTTTAATTTGGCTATGTTTCTCCAGCCTTTTAGGGGCCTACGCTACATGTCCAATCTATAAAGTTTAATTTTTTTTTTATTTCTTAACCAAAAAAACTAAGTTTTTACATTATACTACTACATAATTCAGTGAAAAATTTTCCCCCAGTATTCTGTTAAATAGTCCTCTCTCCCCCTATGTCTCTTTTAGGTAAATACCATTCTGGATTTCCAGTCAGATGTCAAGTAGTGAAAGTTTTTATGCTCCGTTTACTAATAGTTAAACTCTTTTGGTGGTGTAAAATTTATTTAGTAATTTATTTGTTACTTCGTTAGTTAATTTCCTTAAACCATTATATGTTAAAAAAAAAAAAAAAAAGATTAAGAGCTGGTTACCATTTCATGCTTACATATTGCCAAAAGAGAATGTGGTTGTTACTTGCCAGAGCCATTTTTTGAGTCTTTTGTTTGTTTCTTAGGATTTAAAGTGTCAACAGAATTGACCTGCTGTTTCAGGGAAACTTCCTTTTTTATTAAAAATGTGTTGTTTGTTGGAAAATTTGCAATCACCTCATTTTAGTCAAAATGTTAATTCGAGCCATGAGTATTTCTAACCACATGTATATTCAGCATATTTTTAATAGGTTGTCTGTTGATAAATTTTTTTTTAAAGATTTTATTTTATTTATTTATTTATTTTTTCCTTTTTCTCCCCAAAGACCCCCCGTACATAGTTGTATATTCTTAGTTGTGGCATGTGGGACACCGCCTCAGCGTGGTTTGATGAGCAGTGCCATGTCTGCGCCCAGGATTCAAACAAACGAAACACTGGGCCGCCTGCAGTGGAGCGTGTGGACTTAACCATTGGGCCATGGGGCCAGCCCCTCTGTTGATAAATTTTAATACATTAAGTCACGTTTTGTTTTTGCCCAATCTAGTGTAAATAGGTAGGTAGGATACTACCACAAAAAGTAAAAATTTGTTTCTGAAACCATGCTGTTTTTATCCAAGAAAGTCAATAATGATTTGTGCCCAGGATCTGAAAGGAAAGGGAAACCACTTGGTTAAAAAAAGAAGAAACAAATGTGAAAGAAATTCAATATGCTTGACCTTTTATTTCTAAGATCTTTTTGATTTTTATTAGAGGCAGAAACAGGTATTTCCTAAGCACAGGAATTTATGTAGTGGTGAATGGAGAAGTAGGAGATGATACTGGTTTTAATCTGATGCTAATTTTACAGATTTTTAGATTATTTGCAGGTCTGATAATGCTAAATAATAACTATAGTGCCATTCATTAAGTTAATAAGGCTGTTGATAAATTAACTGTATTGTAATTTCAGTCCAGTCATTCTGGCATGAAGTTGCTTAGCACTTCTTATAATCTTTTTAGAAAGGATTTAAGACAGACTGACTTCATACCAAAAATTATTCTTTAGTAGATCCCGTTATAGGTAGGGCATTGTATATTTGAATTTAAATGTATTACAAGGAAAAAAATTGTCAAAAAGGTAGAATAATTCCACTTGGTTAAATATACTACCAAGCTGTAATGCCCCTAGTAAAGCTCATAGTTGTGATTAGTGAATGAATGTTTACTAATGTTGTTTTTCTTGTCTTAATATATAGCAATTTTAATACCCTAAAAATTTACTTTTTTTTGAGGGGGAGAGAGATGATGGGTCTTAGCTACAGGGTATCTTACAGAATCTCTTATTTGTTGTCATTTTAACAAGATCAGCAGACAAATGATGGCTTGAACTTTAGTTTCTCAAGTTATAAAGAACCTTAGAACATGAATTAGCAAATTAAAAGTAACACCAACTTCCATTTTTTAAACAGATTTTGAATTAATGTGAATAAAATGTATAATCTAATTTGAAAAAGAAGTGGTGGATTAATATAGGACAAGAGCAAAGAATAGCTTTAGGGATTTGTGTGTTTAGTATAAAGGCTCTCACTTGTCGTTCATTGTGCATATAAGGCGCTTGGAGGTTATAGGTTATTTTCCTCTGAGACTGTTGTCCCAGTAACTTACTGCTTGACAAACAAATTGTTGGAGATCTTTAAGAATAGATTTTGAAACAATATTCTTTTTTTATGGTCTGGGCCAGTGTTTTTTATACTGCACACACATTCGGAATTCTGCATGTAGTCATTACAAAGATGAAATTTGATTGTACAGTCGAGCTTTTAAAAGAAACATAACGTTTAATTGTAAATAATTGGAACACCCCCAAATTATCAATAGTAGGGGAATACCAGTATTATTAATACTAATAGGGTAGTGATAGATAAAATATGCTATATCCGTGTGATGGAATGCTATGTCAGCATTTCAAACTATGCTTCTAGAGAATACTCAGTGATATGAAAAACTTGGGATAAATTGTCTTAGTCCAGGCTCTGGGTCCCACAACTAGAAGGACCTGCAACTAAGATATACAACTGTGTACAGGGGAGGTTTGGGGAAATAAAGCAGAAAAAAAATAAAAGTCTCTGGGGTATAAGGGACAGGAATATATGTCAAACTAGGTTAAACTAACAGGAGCAGGTATTGGCGTCCATCACCAGAAGTATAAATATGGCTGGACTCGTGGCTCAGATGATGGTGCTGGGTCTTTTTCTGTTTCTGTCTCTCTTCCTGGGCTGCTTTCTTCATTGTATTGGCTTAATTACCTTCACATTACATCACAAGATGTAGTGTATCGTCTTCCTAGGATCATAACCCCAAAGGCAAGAGGGTCTTCCTTGCTAGCTCTAACAGCGAAACCCTGGGAGGAACTTGTATTACCCCAGCATAGGTCTCTATGGCCGTCCTGTGAATCACTCACTGTAGAGAGGGAGATGGATTGCTTGGCCTCTTCTGTGGGAGGGGCACAGTAATTGAAAACCCTTACCTGGGAAAGGAAGGGTCATCACCAATGCTGTGCACACAGTGAACACATCTACTATAAATATGTAATCCATGTTAGAATTTTATTGGGTGGGAGTAAAATTTATTTGTTTTGTTGGGTGAGAAAAATATAGAGAAAAATGTCTAGAAAATCTGAAGTGTCAGGAAAATTAAAGTTTCTTTCTTGCAAACCTTTCATGGTGAACCTATATTACTTTTATTGCTGGGGGGAAAGGGAGTGCATTACAGGGTACAAATGATGAATAAAAATCTTACTTTGGTCTTGGGAGGCCAAACAGTGATTTTGTCATTGCTCAAAATTTTTTAGAGTTCCTCTTATAAAATTGTCTTCAGAACGTGAAGCATCCAGCTTTTTAAAATAGGTAATATGTGCACATGGTTCAAAAACATAAAATATAAAAATAAAGTTTCCTTTCCATTCTTGTTCTCCATTTACCCAGTTCCCATTCATCCCCATAGGTAACCAGATACACATTTTTATATCCCTCCTTTTTTCTT